TTATCGGTATCGATGTGCTCCCCGAGCGGTGCGACAGCGCGGCATTGAGGGGTGGGGCGGCACGAGCGCGGCGGCGGCTTGTCGTGCAAATGGGGCGTGAGCCGTCCAGCCGCTCGGATAGATTGTCGATGCCAAAGTTTGGACCGCGGGGCGGGGCGGGGCAGGCTGCAACCAGCCAGACCCCGTGCCCTACATTCAGAGGAAGGGCCTTGATAGCGGCGGCAGGCCGCGGCTAGGCTCCGCGCCGCGTTGCGCTGGCCCGCTGCGTTGGCCCGCTGCGCTGTGCGCAACAAGTGGCGTGGGTACCAGGCCGGCAGACTCCGGTCCGGTACTGCGGCGGGTCGGTCGATACCCCTCGCACCTCGCCACATGAGCTAACTCGGCCTTGAGAGAGGCAAACAGATAAGCAGCTTGGCCTTCCCCCTGGCCCTCCAGCACCCACCCCCGAGCGTGCGTGCGTGTGTGCGTAAGTGAGCAAACACTCCATCAACGAGACCCCCAAGGGCCCGGTCGCCGTGTCGGCACGCACGTCTGGGGCCGTGGCTGCCACGGCGGGTGGGGAAATATGCACTGGGTGACGAGCCCAAACCGGTTAGCGCCGTCGGAGCGGCGCGGCTGGGGTGGGCGTTGTTGTCGCCCCGCGTCCTGGGGCCCGGGGCCCGGGGCCCGGCCGGGTCAGGGTGCACCGCGCACCCCAGCAGCAACAAAGCAGGCCGCGCCGCCGCCATCGTCGTCACCACCCTAATGAGTCAGGGCCATAGCAGCCTGACAGCCTGACCTTTGGGCGGTCCGCGCCGGTCCGCTATCGCAGGTCCCCCCCGGGGCCGGGTGGGCGAGGTCCAAGTCCGGGCCGGGGACGGGCAGGTTGCCGCCATGCAGTGCGGGCGGCCGCCAGGCCCCCGAGGGGTGGGCGGCGGCGCACCTGACTGCCCAGAGCCGCGCGAAAGGAGGCGGGGTCGAACAGGTCCGCGGGGCAGAGTGCAGCGAGTGCAGCGAGCCCGGGGGGCAGATATGGCTAGGGTGGTGCGGCGGGGAGGGCGTGGGAACACCCGCGGCCGCCGGGGAGGTGCTAACCGAGGGTCAGGCGCTTATCATCGCCATTACCGCCTCCCGGTTCACACCCTCGTGCGAAGAGCGCGCACTTCTTTGAGGACGGGCGGCCGCGCCGAGTGCACCAGTTTATCAGCATTATTTACAATGAGCTTCTTTTTTTGCAATCGTTTATTTTCTCTGCTTCTACTCGGGAGCTAAGGCATCTCACACTCCTTACAAGACTAAAAGGAGGGAATCTTATCATGGGGGAAAGGGTTTACAACTGACGCAGAGAGTGATGCAAATATCCGCTTTTACCAGGCAAATATGCTATTATTATTATAATTCTTATTATTGACTGGCACGCTATGGTTCAAAAGTTAAGATAAGCTTAATGAGGGTATACTTGTTGCTTGAGGAAGCATCGGCTCCCTTTTGACAGAGTATTTTATCAGTAGATAAGCCAGACCCCCCCACCAGACTGAATGCCCCGCTGGTCAATGTTGGGATAGAAATCTCATCCCAACCTACACTCAAATATATCTTCCGGGAGTGTACGTTAAACTGAACTTTGTACCGCACAGCATTTCAAAATTAAAACACCCCAGTAGGCAAGAAATAAAGCAGTACGGCCCATAAGCTGATTTATCAGTGACAAAAGGGACATTTATTTAATTTGTTAAACAAACTTAGATTAGAAGACAAACGTTATTGAAAAAAATTATGGTGACTGCAGTACTTTTTACAGCTAAGTTGATAAGACTCAAAAGGAATTAGAATTAAAGCAATGGATGAATTGAGTATCCATGGAAAGGCTGAATAACAAGCAAGTTAGAAAACAGTTTTACACCAAGGTGTCAAAACCCATTCAAAAGAAGGATATTATATTTGAGAAATAGTAATAAATCAAGATTGAAAATTAAAATGGTACTAGAACTAAATAAAGAAATTGGTATGGCACGGATGGACATCTATTATTGCAGATAATCAGTTAAACTAGGAACAAACAAATGTTATTGGATCTTTGGACACAGCTTCCATTCAGCTCATAGACATGATAAAATTGTTCATCTGCTTGAGTAATTAGGTTATGGAGTCTGTTTATTTCCGTTATTTTTTGACACAACACTAGTATTGAAAACCGTCATAAGTAATTTTGAAAACTTAACAATGAAATATTTACTGATAGTATCAAATGTTCCTGTTAAAATATCGCAACAGGTAACAATTTCACAAACTTCGTCGTCGACGTAGACACCTACCTCAAATGGGTAATAGGTGAAAATTATCACTGGGTGCTGGGAAATACGCCAATCTCACTAGGCCAAAATCAAACTGTAGGAAAATACCGGTTGATAATCACGCAATTGCTTCCTTCATACTCTACACAGAGAGTCTTTTCAAAACCATTCAAAGAAATACACGATTTTCACACTCTGCACAGCAGAACATCCACATCCACTACTGCGCAACTCCACGGTGGAGCAGCGAATGGGAACCGTCGCTGCCGCAGCCGAAGCGCAGCCGAAGCCGAACCAAAATGTCGAGGTGACGCCGAGTCGAGCCGAGCGGAGCGGGTCCATTCGGTTCGTGTTCGGACGGAGTAGCACAGTAGTAGAACGGGGAGTAAAGGAAGGCAAAAAGGACAGCGAGTATGAGTTTGGTCTGAGCAGCGAATCTTTGGAATGGAACAGAGTGAGAATTGGAATAGAGAAAGAACAAGAGATAATAATTGGAGACGAAAACGCTGACAGGCGTAGAACTGTAGGCAATTTCAGGAGGAGAGTGAGAGGGAAAGCCTTTTCGACACTGCCCATTTCCTGTTCTACACACCCATTACAATAATTCAACTTTACTCACAATCAGCTAATATTTTCTCTAGAGGTCTTTCAATATGGACTTGTTGCATATTTCAAACTTACGTAAATTGGCAACAAAATAATGTGCGATGATTAAATGTTAAGATATCAAGGGAGTTATGAAAATATTTTGTCATTTTACAAAAGAGAGAAAAAGAATTTTATTTACGTTCTTTAAAATCCAGAAAAAAATTCCACAGAGGAAAAATATCATTAAAGGAACAAAAATTAAGTTTTCACAAACTACAACAATATATAACAATGGGTAATATTGTACAGAATGGATTACAGGAAAAAAATGTGCCAACACTACAAAATTATGGTGAATATACTTCAATAGGATTAGGTTAACAGATAAGGCTTCCTGGCCATAGATTACAAACTAACAATTTCACTTTTTGTTGAGGTTTATCTCCTAGGTAATACTCAATTTCATTAGACATGTTAATTTGTAAACAGTTGCATTTGGCACAATTTAGTGACAGCCTAGCCAGGAGCAAAACTATTACCATGATGGAAAATCATAAAATATTCTATAACTTGAGTTGAATACAGAAGGATCCTTCAAGATACGTCACAATTGTCAAAGTCATGGTATTTACAAACATTTTACAAATCATAAAAATTCTACAGCCTTAAAACAATATAATAAAATGGTGAGTTGATTTCTAAAACAAGACGATGCAAAGCAAAAACAAGAAGTTAACAATAAATAAATGGCAAGCTGAGAGCATGAGTAAAACTGAAAGATAAAATCTGACAAGTTTAAATGGTACCTGCAACTCTGCAACAAAACTTTATACTGTTTCCCAATCAATTCAGAATCTTTGAGAAAAAATGAGTAATTCAGATATAATACACAAGTATCAGAATTATCTGATTTTGTCACTGAATCATAAAACACACCAAAGATTTCTAGCTGGATTGCTGTTTCCAACTTCCATCAAACTACAAATATTTTCAAGACACCTAGCTTAATGTAACACTTACAAGAACAACAACTCAGTGAAAGAGTTAGAAATGACAGCAACAGCTTTCAAACTCAAACCAATTTGGGAAGATGGTTTGTACACTCTTCAAGGATACTGACGCCGACGAGCACCCCTTTGTTTGTCAAACCTCATCTCCATTTCTTCTAGCACCTTAGGAGTATATCGCACAACTAATTTGACTGAGCCCTGTGCTTGTTTCAATAGTTCTACAGCTCTTTCATGGTTTTCACCTTCAACATCCTGAAACAAGAGATAGGTGCTTATATTAGTTTCATTAAACATCCTGAGGCAAGACTTTTAGCTTTTCTACAAATTTGAGAGTTGAATACTTTTCTCAAACAAGCAACAAAGATAAATCAGGATATACTGACCACTCCATTTACAGAGAGAAGTTGATCTCCACGTTTTAATCCCCCATGCCTATCAGCAACACCACCTGGGATAATACGAGAGATGTAGATAGGAGATTTCTGTTCTTTGCCTCCCATTACATTAAATCCGAGTCCTTCTTCAGTTTTTGGTAGTTCAATTACTCGTGGGTGGGCGTGACCCTCGCTGGCAGCAAATGCAGCAATTGTAGCTTTGGCAGTTGCAGATGCTCTCATATCCTAAAGATAAATCAAATTACAAACAATGACAAAGTTAACCTTTCATTTTTCTTCAGCTGTAGTGGAATAATAATTAACTATACTACTTCAACAAACCTGAGAGCCTTGGACATCAACTGTCTCGTAGACCTGTTCATAAACTTCTCTTACTGCATTGAAAAAGTCACTCTGAAGAACCTTTTGTAAAGCAGCGAGTTTAGTACCAGGGACTTCCCCACCTTCATTGGGAAATTAATGGAAAATAATTAAACTGACAATACATCAAAATATGAGGACAAATTAATAAAGGAAATCAAATTTACTCACTCTTCTGGAGCTTATCCAATAGCTCAATGACTCTATTCACATCTGAAACAAATACTAATTCGTAAGTGTGTGTACCAATAAAGATTGTAAAAATACACATACAAACAAAATTATAAGAAAATCATTATCTCAACAAAATTAGTAACTGGCAAAATTATTGAACAGGGCGTTAAGGTGACACAAACTTAAGAGGTTATTTCTCATCTACATCACTTAATACGTACCAGGTTTCAGAGTAAGCGGCTCACTAACAGTCGCAGCCATGATGATAAAATTAAGGATTTCGAGAATTCAGATCCTTACAAAAGTAAAGTTGTTGAAAAAAGCGTAAAATTTGACAAAATTATGAAGAGGGTCACTGTTTTGCTCAGAAGTTTCGTTCTGCAACTGTTGACGCATGTACGATGTCGTCTGCTAGCGAGAGGGAAATATAACACAAGTTGGGTGAATTTAATGGAATTATCCACAAAATCCATTAAGTCTGGCCAACCAATTTATTCCTAAATATTTGTACCAGTAGATAAAATAGTTCTCAGCGGGTGACTTGATGAATTATTACCAAAATAGGATAAAATCGTAGTTTTGGCCATTCAAAAGTGTTGATCGATGCTATCGAATGTGACCGTTGCGACGGTCATCAGTGGTCTTTCAATAAATTGCATTTACGTCAACTATTAAAGATCTTTTATTTTAAAATCTACTTTTATTCGTTATTTAATTGGATCGCGTCATTTTTTATCACCAAAAGAGCCCTATAACGAACAAAATCGTTGAGAACTTTCGCGCCAAAGTGAAGTACTGGCTGTGTGGGCTAGCGCCCACAGGCCATATACCCGCCGTTTAGAAAAGAATAAATGTGGATGGTGGGGGCACTTCTGGTGAGCTCGATCCGGATCACTTCAGTGTCTGCTAGGCCTCTCTCTTTCTTCCCGTACGTCCGCAGCAAACGGTCAAGATGGCTAACACTGACGCTCTGAGCTTTTTCAAGGATTTCATGGCCGGTGGCATCTCTGCCGCTGTGTCAAAAACCGCCGTCGCTCCCATCGAGCGTGTGAAGCTGCTCCTGCAGGTTCAGGCAGCATCCACCCAGATTGCCGCCGACAAGCAGTACAAAGGTGAGTGTAAGGTAGTGGCCATTTTGCCCCTTCACGGGCACCGGTGGCATGTGGTGCCAAGTGCTTTTCCTCAGATCCCTGACAGTACCTTGTTCTCATGATATGGCGTACGCCAAGTCCTGCTACTCGGCGAACTGTCTTAGTAGAGCAAAATGGACTTGCACTCCCCTTGTCGGCCTGACGTCATGAGGCCACAGGGCGCGCTGCGCTAAGTTATGCCGTCGGGTGCGGGGACGGGTGTTGGCCACGTGTCCGCCTGACATCCACTCTAGTTCATGGCGACGCCCAAGTGTTTTACGGAACTTCCGTCGGAATTCGCACTTTGCGTAGACGTTACAGCATGCCCTTGCCCTTCAACAGGGCAGTTAAGGGCTCATATATGGAGGTTAGGTTGACTTTCATGTTTCTAAGTTAATAGCGCTTTTATCTTTTTCTCACGTCAAGAACACCGGGAATATTTCCCTCTCTTTTTTTTTTCGGCGTGTCTGTATGAAACGGCGCCGGAGAAAGACTACCCTGAGTTTGAATCGGTTGTGCAGGTTTCAATGAAGGGGAGGGGGAGGAGTACTTGCCCTATTGATTTTCCATCATTTCTTCTTTTGATACTAAATTGTAAGATCTGTACCTCAAAGACGCAGTCGCGATTACGTGAACGAGTAATGTGCCTAGAGATGCCTCTGATAACCTATCTTATCTGAACTAGTGAGGGATCCATTTTGCCAAATCTTTCATTTCTCAATCTTTCAACCCTCCGTGCCTCCATTTGTAGCTCTTCTGACACCACGTTTTCTTGTATTTTTCAGGCATTGTCGACTGCTTTGTGCGTATCCCCAAGGAACAGGGATTCGCCAGCTTCTGGCGTGGTAACCTTGCCAACGTCATCAGATACTTCCCCACCCAGGCTCTTAACTTTGCCTTCAAGGATATCTACAAGCAGATTTTCCTCGGTGGTGTAGACAAGAACACCCAGTTCTGGCGTTACTTTGCCGGTAACTTGGCCTCCGGTGGTGCTGCTGGTGCCTCTTCCCTTTGCATTGTCTACCCTCTCGACTTCGCCCGAACACGGTAATTATTGGTCTGTCAAATATCTCTTATGCTTTTAACTATCAATTCTAATTCCCTATTTTGTATCTGCAGTCTTGCCGCCGACATCGGCAAGGGTGATGGCAGACAGTTCAACGGTCTTGCTGACTGCCTGAAGAAGACCTTCAAGTCTGATGGCCTTATTGGCATGTACCGTGGATTCGGTGTGTCAGTCCAGGGTATCATTATCTACCGTGCCGCCTACTTCGGCTTCTTCGACACTGCCAAGGGCATGCTGCCCAACCCTAAGACCACACCCTTCCTGGTCTCATGGGCCATTGCTCAGGTTGGTTTCTTTCATTTGTGCCTCTATTCTCATTGTCTTCTATGGTCAGTCCCAATCTAACACCTGTGTACTTTTACTTTCAGACTGTCACCACTGTTGCTGGTATTGCCTCTTATCCCTTCGACACCGTGCGTAGGCGCATGATGATGCAGGCTGGCCGTAAGAAGGCTGATATCATGTACACTGGCACCCTCGACTGCTGGGCCAAGATCGCCAAGAATGAGGGTACTGGTGCCTTCTTCAAGGGTGCCTTCTCCAACGTCCTCCGAGGCACTGGTGGTGCTCTTGTGTTGGTCTTCTACGACGAGATCAAGAAACTCATCTAAATTAATTAGGAATAGATTTTAGGTAGAAGTGCAGGCATCCAGAGTTGCGAGATCTGACTCCACATTCCACATTCCTGACCTCAAATCGGTAGAGGATCTGCAGCTTCTATAAACTGGTGTAGTGCATTTCAAACGCAAATGCAGACCATGTCAGTGTTCTGATCAAGTTGACTCATGTGTGCTAAGTCAGATTTGCATCTTGGCTTACACTTCAATAGCAGAATTTCAATTTTAAAATCTCGAACCATGACTTTTAGGTTTGTTTTACTCAGTATTCATTGCTCGACCGGGAAGAGCTAGAGAGGCCGCAAGTGAAGTAAAATGGAAGAATTACCAAAGACATTCCATCCTTCATGGCTGTACCAGTGTTTCATCAAGATGGAATGGTGATTGCAAGAGATTTTACTGTAACTGTCCAACAATAAAAAAGTTGATATTACAACCAATATAATCTCTTTCTCTTCAAATTACCTCGTTACACTATGCTAATCATGTGCTGAAATATTTTGATTCTTAATGGACTCATTTACTATTGAATCCTGTGACCTTTCATGCAAGGTTGTCGAACACTTTCACTGCTGTTTGGGGAGGGTGGGCGGATTAGATACGCCCAGTCAGCCTACTCGTGAGACCAGAGAATTCGGTATTCGGAGCCAAGAAATTGTTGGGCGCCACAGAGCGTGCCTTCAGCTATTTATAGGTCCCAACGCGCTCGACGTTCACCCCTCGTGCCGGGTCCCCGCTCCAAATCTGTTGCGTAGCCGAGGAGTCACATGTCAGTCGGTCAATTTGACGTCGAAACTGGATCATCTCGGCTCACCTTGCCTTCCTCTAGAATGAACGGGGGTGATGGTCGGGCGCCGTCGGGCCTACTCAAAGACCTTTGGGTTAAATTACCGGGAGTGCTTATAGGCGGGTCGGGAATAGCTTGCACTCCTTCCCAGAAATTATTGCACAGGAAATAATCTTCATCGAACGGAATGCATTTATTCCTTACTTTCCCATAGTTTCGAAAAAACGCGCCCTCTTGAAAGCGGAAGCGGATGTTTTCTCTGTGGCGGCCAGGTCCGATCCATGTCGATCAGCTGATCAGTCGTCGTCTGGAGCCAGTTCAAAGGTTTCGACCGTTGACAGTTGAGAGACCAAGAGGAGTCAGAGGAGTTAACGACGGTCGATTTCACACATTACGGCTACAGGGATGATGAGGTATTATTTGAACATGTTTGTAGACTTTGTGCGCGATTTGTCGCTTGAAGTGCGGATTAGAGGCGGGTTGAAAGGGAGAGTCGGTGGCGCGCGCGCAGGGCGCAACAAGCGTGTGCCGACCGGGCAGCATCGACCGGGCGAACGAGTTGGGTTGCCTGAATCATTCAACTCTCAGTGAAAGAGTATTGATTGATTTGCCCAACTTGAGCGAGTCTGTTGGGGCTGATAACGACCAGGGTACATACTGGCGGCTGTAGACTTAATCTGCAGGTGGGGAACGATTTGGGCGAGCGATGGGTAGGACACACTCTAACCCTCTCCCTGCCTCACGCTACAAGGCCGAAGCCCCAGTTATATTTCGGGGCAGGAGCCGGGCCGAGGGCCAAGTGGGTGCCTAGACGCATGCACATTGCCTATATGCTCTTGGGCTCTGGGTCGAATCTTATAACGCCAGAGCCCACGCCATTTCACACAACAAATTTCGGCATAAGCATTCGCGGGTTGAAAGTTCACATGCAACCGCGATGCGAAAGCAAACGGAAACAGACTCACAGTAATAACTGAGCGACCTGTATTTACTTGGCTTAGGAGAAGCTTAGAGGCGCGGTCGCGCTCGCCCTCGCGCTCGCCCCCCTCGTCCCCCGACTATCGGCGGCAGGCGCCCTCGCCGGAGCAGGTGAGGCGGTCCTTCCGTCTGGAGGAGCGCAAGCGGACCTCACTCGGCGTCTTCCTGGGCCTACCGATAGAAGTGCTGCAGCACATGCTCTCCTACATGCCAGGTTTGATCCCGTGCCTCGCCCCCTCCTCGCTGTGCCCACTGCTTGCCCGTCGCGCTCACTCGCCCTTCCCTCCCCCGTTCCAGCGAGGTCCCTGTCGCAGTTGGCCCAAGTGTCCACGGGCTGGCACCAGTTCCTGCAGGACTGGATACAGCTCAGGTCGTCGGCCTGGATCGTCGCGCCCAAGCGGCGCTGTCGCTACCTCAGCGATGAATTCTACGACGAGGTAAATACCCAACCCACGCCCCCTGTCTTGCACCGTGTGGGCCTACAGGGCGTATGCTTCTCCTCCCGCAGTACACGGAGCTGGGGCTGCTGTGCCGGCGGCTGCTGCCCGGCAGCACGCTCCCGCAGAGGGCCCACGCCTGCTGGCGCGTCCTGGAGGCCGTGGAGCAGGCCAGCATGCGGCACGACGACCGCCGCGAGTACGAGCCCACCTTCATCGGGGCGGCCAACTTCTTCAGGGCGGCCGTGGCGCTCAGCTGCAGCCGGTCGCAAGGGGAGAGGTTCGAGGTTCGTACCAGCTATAACCACAACCCCCCTGCCTACCGCCCCACCGCACCCTCCAGATGATGCAATGTTTTGGCGCCTGCCCAAGGAGCAGCGGGTGGGTGCGAAGCCCCCCCTCCCCCTCCCACCTGAACCCTCCCCCTACCTTTCTGCCCGTGACGTCCACGGACGAGTAAGGCCACGAGTGCTAATGTTTCGCGCGAGAGTAAGGTGATGAATGGAGCTGGCCTGTCCTTCCCCAACGTGCTCATCATGGACTTCCCTGCCCCTCTGTCCGCACAGACCATGTGGCAGATCGTGAGGGACACCATCTCGGCGGACATGTGCGTGCTGGAGGCGCGCCCGGGCGAGTACGGCCGCGTGGAGACGGACCTGCGGCTGGCGCTCCGCGTGCTGTTCCTGTCGCCCTCCGCGCCGCCGCGGCACGTCCGCTTCCGGCGCATGGACCGGGGCACGGCGCTGCGCGCGCTCCTCTGCAGGCTGCCGCTGCCGCTGCAGGCCAGGACCCTCTTCGTCTGCTACGGCCCGCGCACAGGTACGTCAGGTTATCTCGAGCTGCATGCGGCGGCTGCAGGCGCTATCGAGCGGCGCCCGCCGCCGCGCCCCGCAGCGTCACGTCACGCGCCGTTACGGCGACATCTGTGTGGTGTCTCGGAGCGCTCCACTATCAGCCTCGAGGCCTCCTGAGGTGCGTGGCTTTGGGCATCGCGGGTGGCCAAGGACAGCGCTCGGGATGGCGCGGCGGGGCGCGGCGGGCCGAAGGTCGGCAGCATGACTCGCTGGGCTGGCGGGCGTAGC